GAAACGTCAGCCTTCCTGCTCCTCTGATGCTGCTTGGCCTGCTGTGTTCATCCAGCTCTACACCTTGTTATCTCTAGGTCTCAAGTCACCTTAGCTAAATGGCTGAGAAATTCGTTGCTAAAAAGTTGACTGTGTACCTCGTGCTGTTATGCAAATTTCAAAAGAGATGCGATCAATGATTAGGAGCTCCTGCCTTCAGGTACATGCAGTACTTTACAAAGCAACAATACAAGTCATGAAGTTTGGTGGGTCTGCAAACAGGAACTTTTCCTCATTGCATTAACCCAAACCTGCACAGCAATATCCACAAAAGGACGAATTCGTCACTTGACACGTTCACGTAAAATAAATCTAAAAAAAAAGTGTTACGCAAGCCAAATTTAAGAACAGAACCACTATAATACACATAATCATGCATATGATAAGGAAGCAAATTGTTGCAGGGACTGTCAGGAAGAAGCACAGACTTCAGAAACAACGTTTCCTTTTTGTGAATTAAAACGCAGTTGGTCACGTGGGGCGGAAGCCGCTTCCGCGAAAGCCGGTCCGGCTCCGCCCCCTCGCCATTGTTACATCACGAAGGACGGCAGCCACCCCCCGGTTCCGGGCCGCTCTGACGTCACACACGGCTCGCGGCCGACACGGCGTTGGAGCGGCCCCGCGTGCCGGACCTGTTGCAGCCTCGGGGCCGCTCCGGACAACAACCGCCCCGCAACCCCCCCCTCCCCCAAATACAGAAAAAAAAAACCCGGACAACCGCCTTCGGTCTACACGCAAAACAGAAACTTTCCACGCTCTTTTACCCCCCCCACTCCCCTTTTCTTTTGTTCTAAAGCTTTTTAACCAATGTTGAGTGGAAGAGACACAAAAACATCGCAGAGGTTGCTTTTCAAGTCTTAGCCTTTTTCTCTCTTCCCCCCCCGAATAAACTTAAGCGAAGGCATCTCTGCAATGCGTCGGGTGTTTTTAAAATACATTCCAGTTTGTGTGTGTTTTTGTTGTTGTTTCCGTGATGCCACATGCATGTTGACGGTCGCTTTCTTACCGATTCAGCAATTTGACAAGTTACATACGGACAATGGAGTGTCAGGGAGGGTCCGAACTGAAGGGGCGATAATTTTCTTTTTGGCGGGTTGTGTGGTGCGGGGTTGGTGGGGGGGTTGGATTAATATCTGGTGAAGCGTGTGGAACTGATCGAAGTCAATGCAATCGTTAATGGAATCGAGTTGTGTGGAGTGTGGGGAACGTGTCACCTTCCTCGTTTAAACACTACCGTCTGCCGGAGTCAGAGGTCACCGCAAATCCAAAAAAAAACTCATGGCAGAGAATGAAGAGAAACCTTTCCAATCTAAATTGTAATGAAGCCTTTCAAACATCTGCAATCTCTCCACTTCTCCATTACCTAAAGGGTCTGAATAATTCACATCCACCGACTGCAGACAGTAACCCTTTCTTTGAAGAATGGTGGTTGGGGGGGGGGGGGGGAAAAGAAAGGGGGGAAAAAAGAAAAGAAAAAATTCCCCCAAATTATAACCGGGACAAAGTGG